GAAGATAGAAAGACAAAGTGGAGCAGAAATACAAAAAAAAAATAGATTGTGAGTAAAAAAAAAATATGACAGAGATATTTGCGATAAGAATAAACTAGTGGATAGAGAAAGAGATTACTATGAAGTGATACTGAAAGAAAATATAGCAGTGGAATGGGTTGAGGTCCGGCGGGTGGCCAAAGTAAGGCTGCCGCCTGCCAGTGAAGCAAAATTACCAAGTACTTAACCTAGCTCTGATACCAAAAGGAATTAAAAGAATTATTTGGCTTTTTCATGAATAAGGTAGAGGCCATGTATATATAATAGATTTATGATACAATTTAGGAAACGATATAAATAAGGAAACAATACTAAATCAGTGATTGACACAATCATAGATTATATATATAATACTAAAAATAAAAAGATTCTATATACTCTAATTTTTATATTCAACATTTCCTACATTCATCCCCTTCATTAAACCAAAGGGATCATGCTTTGTACTGCCAATTGATTTCTTATGAGATCATCAAACGACGGACTTCTCTTTTCTTATCATCCCTCAACGCTGCTCGCCCCTCCCTCCTTATCAAGGTGCTTTATTTCTTCAAGAAACCTAGCAATCTTGATATCCACCCTATCAAACATCTCTTTATTCCACACCTTCAAATATTCTTCAAGGAGCTTTAACTTCTTAACTAGACAAAAGTTAAGATAGCCTTACACCATATACCCCTGCCACCAATTCCTCACCATGTCAACAAACCCCTTTTCCATCAACCACATGTTATCAAATCAAAAAGGACTTGATCCTCTATTCAACCCTTTGCTACCAAGAAAATAGGAATATGGACTAATACAAGCCGTGGAAGACTATATTGTCTAACATCGGGGGCAATGCTCTTCCTAGTCCAAAGAAATAAGGAATCTGTCAACTCCGGACTAGATCAACAATTACCTCAAGTAAGCCTCCAACCCTCAAGAGGCAAATCCATTAATTCCTCCTTTGTGAAAAACTTCAAAATTGCTCCATTGTACCAATTATCTCCCTACTATCCATCGTCTCAAAGGAGAATTTTACCATTAAAATCATTCAGTTCTATCCCTCTTTAGTGTTAGACAATTCCTCCCACAAGCCCCTTCTCTATCAGAGTAAGAAATTAGGGCCATAAACACCAAAAATACCCAACAAAACCCCTCTTCAATATTCTCAAACAAACATGAGATCAAACAAGAAATAATACTCATCCCCTTCTTGCAGAGCTTCCTCAAGTCCCTAATAACAATAACACCTCATGCTATTCCTACAGTGGCCAATACTTCCCACTGGACCCACTTACTACCCCATAAGAATTTTGCCCACTTCTCAGTAAAGTTTTTAAAGACGAATGCATAACGTGAGGCGTTTTATTTTGTTTTTTGAAATTTTATTTTTATTTAATAAATAAAATATTTTAAAAGTAAAAAACTATTAAATATAAAGGCTATAAAGCATGGACACGCCAAAATGGAAGCCATGGCGGTGTTGGATACGGGGGACACGCCGGGGACAGGGGACACAAACGGGGCATGCCAGATGGCTTGTCCCTTTAATTTAATTTATTTTTTTTCAAGGGACACGACGGAGACACGACAAGGACACGCGTGTCCAAATCTAGACACGCCATGGGATCATCTTCTGAGGGCTTTGATCATCTTCGATTGTCTTCATCTTTGTTCTCTCTCTCTCTATCTGTTTGCATATAATTTACTTTATATAAGATAATTAATCATATATAATATATATAATAAAATTTATAAATTATAATTTTTGTCAAGTATAATAAAATATCTAATTGTTATTTCTTAAAATATCATATTTAATAATAATTTTTGCAAATTATTATTTCTTAACTTTTTAACATTTAATAAATAAAATAAATCATCCAATTATTTAAAAGAAATCTAATTAAATCATATATAATAAAATATCTAATTTTTCTTTTTATTTATTTTAACATATTTTATTTTTCCTTATTATTTTTTTATTTATAATATATATATCAATTAAAAATAAAAAAATAAATTAACAATAACACATTATTTACAAAATATAATAAATAATAAAATAATTAATGTGTATTAAAATAAAAAAATTTATAAAAAAATTAAAAAATTTGTCGTGTCCCCTGCCATGTCCATGTCCATGTCCCCATTTTTTAGAAATTGCCGTGTCCCGTGTCTGTGTCTGTGTCCGTATGCGTGTCCATGTCCATGCTTTATAGTATAAAGGTGTAAATACTTTTCTAGTCAATGTTAAACATTTCATTGTAGAGAAAAAAGATTGCCCTTATCAAAGGTGAAATCGACATTCTAAACTTCAACTATCGAGCTTTCCACTTGAGTTTGAGCCTTGAGTTTTTTCTTAGTTAATCATTTACTTGATTTTGCGCATGGAATATCGTTGCAAAAGAGGTTTTTCCTTTTTATTTTTAAATCATGTATTAGATTAGGTTTAACAATAGCTCAACAAGTTCTCTATATGCGTAAAGCTTATATGCCTATATGCAAAAGGCATGTAAGGCACACATATCAGATTGTGATTTACGTTACACAGACTCATTAGTTTTTGGAGAAGTACTCATGTCACCACAACACAACACGGGTACGGGTATAGAATCTGGCCAGGATACGACATGGGAAAAGTAGATACAACATACGGAAGTAAGAAGAAAGATGGCAAACCTATGATTAGGGCTACAAAAATGGAGATTATGGCTTCGATCTTCTTCTATTGATCTGTTTTCTTCTCACTCTCACTCTCACTCTCACTCTCGATCGTTCTCTTCGTCTCTCTATTCTCTCTGTTTCAATTAACTTCATCTCTCCCTTCTCTCTGTTTTCTTCTCTCACTAATTGACTCTCTCTCTCTCTCCTTTTTAATATAATTTATCATAAATTATATCATATATAATATAATTTTTATGTCTAAAATAAAAAAATTTATTTATTTTATCATATATAATATAATTTATTTTATGCCTAATATAATTTTTATTTGTTATTTATTTTTTATTTTTTAACAGAATCTATTATTTCTTAACTTTTTTTAACTCATCTTCATGTAATAAATATATTTAAAAAATAACTATTTAACGTATCCATGTATTCGTATCTAAATTTGGATCCATATCCACGTATCCTCAGTTTTTTATTTTAAAGTGTCGACCCCTAAATACGCATACACATCCACATCCGATACCCACACCCGAGTCCGTGTAATGTTGATTGTGATGTGCAAGCCTTTGGGAAGTGTCGTCTAAAAATCAAAGCCTCAATACATTTAGTCTTAGCCTCGCCTTGAAGCTAGCCTCGATGCAAGCCTCAATAAAGCCTTATAAAACTTTGCTTCTAAGGAGAAGGTCTCCTTTTCGATTTCTTGTAAACTCACCAAGTCTACCTTCTACTTCTTCAAAGAGGCTAATACCACCTTCCTCTTTCCCACCACAGCTCCCCTATTATGAGGCCTCCCTTTTTTCTCTCTGCCTCCCAACAATGTCATTACCTCTTCCTCATACCCTACGAAAGACACTCACAAATTTTTTTTGAGACCTCTGATCTTTGTCATCGTGTAAAGGCTTCTTTCTGTTTCTCTGCTTCCTTATAACCAATCCCATCATTAGGACTCATTACTATTAACGAAGAATAATCCATTGGGGACAGCTCTTCCATTCCCTCTGTTATCGCCTCAGACCCTCTATCTGACATCACATCTCATGGGCAAGCTTCTAGTCCACTCTCAACCATCCATCCTTCAATTTTCAACTGGGCATTTGCTGGAACCCTGGCCCAACACTCATCCCCTCCCACAACTTTGGAGGTCCCCAAGTCTGGGCACGAGCTTATCTCAGAGTTCAACACTTACCAATCCGTAAAGTTGTTGCTCTCCCAAGTTCATCCCCTTCAATCCTGAATTCAAATAAGTGACAACTATGTACATTGCTAAATGAAAATTATGAAAGAGTTGCAAGCCTCTTCATAAGTGTGCTATGTGCCACCAAATAGCATTTTAATAAATAAGAGAGTTCAATATAAAAAAACCATCCCATCCTGCTAAAGCATTCCACCAATGTCGGATTGAATGAAGAAGTTTCAAGTTGGCCATCGACTGACCCGGGTGGGCAGGCAAACATGTAGCTTGTTGTAAGATGTTGCTAGAAGCACTCATGCCAAGAAACAAGCATAAATATTCATCCATCCACTAATAATAACACAAACAAAGAAGCATTTATTTCTTAGGTTTACAGCTGATACATAATTGTGAGGCACCGTAGAAACATCGCATTTTTGTAGAGATGTACCAAAAGCTTACATGTTTTCACCTAAGATGTGGTTAAAAATTAAAAAATTAAAAATAAAATAAAATTTAAAAAAAAAAAAAAAAAATTTGCTTAAATAGTTTTGGACCTTACAAATTGTCAAATTTCTACCAACACTTCTCTCAAAAATTTCCACCATATAATCAAGCAAAATGGGCAAACAATCCAAAATCATCATATGGTTGTACCCAGTGCACAAGGCTTCCTCTTAAAGTAGGGTCTGGGAGAGGTAGCAGGTAGTTAACCTTCCCCCACTTTTTGTGGAGAGGCTCGAACCCACGCCACACCACAATGGGAGCGGATAGCACTTGTATTACTCCAAGTCATGACCTCAAGTCCAAAACCATCATATGATATATCTTTTTGTGCAGAATCTTGGGTCTCTCACAATAAGCGCATTCAATTCTAGATTCAAACAAATGCCTAAGTAACTACTGCTCATGTTAAAATAAAAATAAAAATTAAAAATAAAAAATCCAGTTCAATTTGCAGACAATCTACGTAATTTAGGAAACCAATAGACTGTTTTGTTCTTCTGTCAGTTGCAAGACCTACCCTGTTCAAGTTTATTAAACTAATAATGTTAAGGAAAGAGATAGGAGGTCTAGAACTTCGAAGCACAAGTAACTTGTGAAACAAAAAACACAGGTACATACCAACCTCTCTAAAACGGGCAAGACATTCTCTAGATACCAGTTAGCCGAAGCATGAACTGGTGCAGTTTTAATTCTGGTAGCACGAATTGCTGTTGCATAATACTCCCTTGTGCTCCAAGCGAAATCATCAGGCAGCTCTTTAACTATAGAAATATCATCCTTCAACACATCAATAAAGTGGTCCACATCAAAGATATCCATGAATGAGCTGCAGGAAAGAAAAGCAAGAAAAAAAAAACACAACTTTGTATTAATAACTTCTTCAAAGTATATGAGATTTTAAAATTTATAAACAAATGGTAAGAACACATGAATTATGTGAGAAAAACCTTGAGTCTTTCCAGACAGGATTCACTTCAAGATGTGGTATGACCAGAGTTGCATTCAGAATCTTAGCAACAGCAACAGCATCACAGATCTGTTCCCAAGAAAAGAAAATTTTAAATTTCAAAAACAACTCATATTTTCTCAAAGCAGGCAATTATAGATCATTAAAAACATTCATTTCATCTATTAATATTAATGCAAACAGTTAACGTAAATCTTCATATGCCTACCCCCATTCGCTGCTGGTTCAACCCTCCATCAAGAAACACTTGGAGATATCCTTGAGATTCATTTGGTAGGGCTGCTTGAATTAAAGGATGAATCCATCAGAGAAAGAAATTTACAAATAAAAAGACCTCATTATTCTTATGTAAATTCAAGCCTCATCACTTCACAAAACCATTGAATTTTTTCATAACCGAAAACTTATGTGTTTGTTGTTCTATGTCTTATCACTTACGAGGGCCATTAGTGGAATCCACACACGGTGTCCATCCTTGGTTAGCCAAAGGAGTCCAGAGATCAGACTGCTGCTCATTTGACTACATGAGGGGAGGAAAGGTGAGTTTTGAAGCAATAACTCAATGAAAACAACGTTTTTATTACAAAATTATGTAAATGCAAACTGATGCTCACATTTTCACGCTGTAAAGCACTCTTAAGTAGACGTGAGTGTCTGGGTTTTGGAGCATTCCATTCCTGCACAACGCAATTAGAATATTAAATGGCATGATTAGCACCAATCCCAAAACAAAATAAAATAAAATAAAATAATGAAGTTTGATGCCACAGACTTGCAGTAGCATAGACACAAACACATGCACATACCTCATTCTCAAAGCAGTAACAAAATTCACACATTGCAAGTTTAGAGATCCTAGAAAATGGCATGCCACTTGACAGAATGTGAATTCAATTTAGAAATGGCATAAGAACAACAGACAAAAGTAAATAAACAAATTCATTGTGATCAAAGCTTCTGAAAAAAAAAATATTGAAGTTAGGGGGGGGGGGGGGGTTGAATATTATGATCAAAGCTAATCCACTGTTTTCCATAAAAATATTAAAAAATAAAATAAAAGCAATTGATCCACTGATCCAAGCCAAGCAGGACTAGCTCACCAAAGCCATATACAACCTAATAAGTCAATGCTTCCAAGGGTCTAATTATGTCAAACCATTGTGTTGGTTTGTAATAAAATATAGCAGAATTTTATCCAAATCCCAGGAAGTCAATAATTAAACATTCATCTCTCTGTTTGACAATTTGAGTCCAAATGAACCTATATCCCATCCCAGGTTCCCAAATCCCAAACTGCCATTTTCAGAATGGCACCCAAATTATTATCCCCTATGAATTTAAATATAAAAAACCCAAAACCCAGAAAAATATAATTGTTTTGTATCACCAAAAAAGCCAATTGAACATGAATAGAATAAAATATTTTTCCCTAGAAAAAAATAAATAAATAAATAAAAAAGAAAAAAAAATCCAGGGATCTTAAAGTGGGATAAGTTGAAGAAAATTTGAGGCTTTAGGAGTAAAAATCTTCTACTTCTTCTTCTCTAGTAACAAACAGTTTTCCATCAAACTAAACAAAACCCAGAGAAAAAGAGGAAAGAGAATTAAGAAGAAAAAAAGGAGAGAGTAAAAAAGACAGATATGATTGAAAGAGTAAAGGTGGCAGGAATACCGAGAAAAGGGAAGTAGAGGCGTAGCTAAATGGAGCGAAAAGAGCAGGGAATAAAAGTGGAAGAATCAGCACGGCGAGAGCTCCTCCGTGATTGCGCTGGCTCACCTTCATACTGCTGCTGGTGGTCTGTGGTGAGCTCAGGCCTCGATTTTTTTTGAGTGACTCTGGTGGTTGTAAATTGATGAGGCCCCTCTTCCCCAACCCAAGTCAGAGAGAAGAGAGAGAGAGAGAGAGAGAGAGAGGATAGGGGTTCTAAATCAATGTAAATCCTATCGGCATCAGCAAAAGCAAATCACATGAAGACAGAGAGAGAGAGAGAGAGAGAGAATGTGATATATATACATATATATAGAAAGAATAAAACAAGGAGGAAAGAAAGCAAGCAAGCAAGAAACAGCTGCAGTGAATTGATTAGTGCAGCCACAGTTGATGATGATGGAAAGATGTGTGCTTTTCAGGAGGACCCTCAACGGTAAATTTTAGCTTCTAATATGCACTACGTGGCACGAATCTAAATTACCGCTCTCTCTCTCTCTCATCCTTTTTTTTTTGCTATTGTTTTTGACAGACATGTTTTTTGCTTTTTAGTTGTGGGTGGTGAACTTTTTTTAACTCTCTTTTGCTTGGTTGTTGCACCGACACTCTCTCTCTCTCTCTCTCTCTCTCTACTAATAAGTGGCTTTTTGTTGGCGTGTGGTTGGTTGTCTGGTCGAACCCTGCCATATGTGTGAAAAATATTTTCGAGTTACATGTGATCGGATCAGGATCCAGTTCAGATAGTGATATTTTGGACCCAGATCAGATCCTAGTGATATTTTGATCTCGTTTGGTATAACTGTTAAAAACAGTTTATAAATTATAATTTAACAGATTATAAATTATAATTTTAATCAGAAATTATTAATCTATTTGGTGTAACTGTTGGATTATAGATTTAAGTTGCTGAGTAGTGTTTGTTAAATAAACTGTGAAATACCTTTTTCAATTGATTTTTATTTTTTATTATTTACTACTTATCTACATTTCTCATAAAAAATAATAATAATAATCTATAGTACATTTGGGTCTTTTTCTATTTTTAAAAAAATAAAAAATAACAAAATCTAAGAGTATAACTATATATTAACATGTCAACGGCAGAAACTGATAATCAAAAGTAAGGGGTGAGCAGCTTATTAGAATCAGCTTTTTTTAATTAAAATAAGCTGTTAGAATCAGAAGCTGTTTGAAATAAATTTAACCGAACAGTTCAAAATAACTTTTTCAAAGCTAAAAGTTATAAGTTAATTTTGAAAAGCTGAAACAAACACCTTTGTTGTGCAGTTTGTAATGTATAACAAAATTATGACATTAGTTGGTGAAATTTTATTTTCACACATTTTATTATTTCAGTATACATATTTAATAAAATATTATTTTAATAATTATTATATTTTAAATTAAAATGACGGTAATAGACATTCATTAATATCTATGATATTTTATGAAAATATTTTCTGTACATATCTTTTTAAAAAAAAATCTTAATATACATCTTTTGATTAAAAAAAATTAAATCTTAATTTTTTCATTGTTGACACTTTGCTTGTTACACCCTCTATACTTCTCATTTGCTTGCAAGACAATACTCTCATAACAAGTCTCATATTGCTTTAATCTCTTAATTTATACTCTATTAGTGACGAAAATGTTATTTTTTTTGTGCAAAACTTTTTTTTTTCCTTTCGCAGTTTTCAGTTGGATAATCAGTGCCAAATTATTTCATTATATTCAGACCTTAACTGCCAAAATTTTTTAAAATTATTTTCTTAACAAATTTGTCGAACTAATCACTTTTATTCGGAAGTTAAGTTCGAATTAAATGTATAATTTTGAAAAACCAATGCCGAAATCCCGCAAATCGAAAAAACATTAAAAAAATTTAAAAAACGAGGGTTTTATGGCAATGGACAAAAATGTCCATTGCTCAAAAATGCCTCATTTTCAACAATATTTTGGAGGGTTTTCGATGGTGTTTTCAATAGAAGTTCAATAAGCTCTTCGGTAAAAGGTTTTCAACAATGCTTTTAAAGGAGAGTTGAGTGGTGTGTGTACAATGATTATGAGTGAAGGGTAAAATTGCAACTTTCAGTATATGGATTGAGAAAATTAATCAATAATCAAATTAGTAAGTGTGTATACTAAGAGAAGATATGCACTAAGGTAATTAAGTGTGTAGAAATAGAATTTCCCCACTATTTGGCATAAACTAATAAATAAACTTACTTAGATAAGTTTATTTATTTAGGTCACATCATTTCTCTATTTTTCTACATATTTTTTTTATAAAATATCAAAAAGTATACTTATGTAAATCATTTCAAACAATCTCTATATTAAGAGAAAAAAAAGATAAAATAAATAAATAAATTGTACTTATCTCTTTCGAGATTTACATGAAATTTAATGAAATGAAAAAAGTTTCCCTAAGATTTTTGAAATAACAAAAACCCCACTTAAGATTTAGTTTTCACTTACATTGATCTCCCTTAAAGTTTAATCAAATTGCAAAAACATTTCATAAGGTTTCTTAAATGACAGAAATCTCTCTTGAGATTTGATTTTTTTTATTATTGATTCACTCTTCTATTACTTTATCAAAAAAAAAAAAAAACATAAAAAATATTGATATCATTAAAATTAACTACATTTTCATTTTACCATTTAAAATTGTGTCCAATTACAACAACGACAACAACAACAACAAAATGAATGCTTGTTTATCCAAAACCTCAACAGATATTGTATTTTTTTTAATTTCTTTGTAATTGGACACAATTTTAAAGAATAAAATTGAAAATGTAATTAAATTATTTGATATGTGTTTGGCAAGTGATTTTTTTAGTCAAAAAGTCAAAAAGTTACTAAAAAAGTTAAAAAGTCAACAACTTATACCAAAAAGTCAAAGATTATCTTTTCTATCAATTTTTTGCACATCTTTTTGTAAAAAGTCAAAAAATCCTCCCAAACATACGAATTTTTTTTAACTCATATTTTAACTAAATAGCCAAAAAATTACTAAATTAACCTATTCCCCAACGAGTTCTCAATTTTTTATGAGGCAAGAGGATTTTGTATCATGGAGGTACACACAATCAACAATAATTACATGCACAATAAAGAAAAATAAATAAAAATTGTATTTATTACTTCTTTGTGATTTGCACAATTTTAACTGATAAATTAAAATGTAATTAAATTATCTAATAATGTCGGTTTTTATGTTTCTATCTTTTCTTTTTTTAACAAAAAAGTAACACAAGAGATAATCAATAATAAAAAACTAAATCTCAAGTAAAGTTTCAATCATTTCAAAAATCTTAACAAAGGTTTCTACAATTTGATTAAATCCCAAGAAATGTTCATGTAATAGAAAACTAAATCTCAAGAGAGGTTTCTATCATTTCATAAACTTTAACAGAGATTTCTATATTTCATTAAATCTCAAGAAATTGAAAATTAAATCTCAAGTGAGATTTAAGTCATTTTAGAAATCTCTTGAGTTTCTACAATTTTATGAAGGGAAATGCTATTTACACACCAAACAGTTTCTCAATACACACCGTTTCCTTACATTTGCTTAGTTCACACCACACATAAGTAATATTTTGATTTTCTCTCCATACACACCACACCAACGTTTCCTTACATTTGCTTAGTTCACACCACACACAAGTTAAATATTTTGATTTTCTCTCCATACACACCACACCACTAAGGCCAAGTTTGGCTACAAAGAAAAAAATTGCACTTATTTCATCTTTTTATCTTTTTTGGATCACATCAATCAACATCTCCTCTCTACTTTTTCTACACATAATACAAAAAAAGTAAAAAAGTGCACTTATTTAGGCCAAGTTTGGCATCCTCCAAAAAATTCAAAAAGTCAAAAAGTCACTATCCTATTTAAGTCACATCATTTTATTTAAGTCACAACACCTCTCTAACACATCACTTCAAACTCAACCCAAATCCAACCCATATTTCATAAAAAATCAAAAAGTACATTTATTTAGTCTTTCCAAACTTGGCCTTAGTCTTCCCAAATTAGGCCTAATTGTTGGATAATACCAAATTATCCTTATCTTTTTTACCAAACCCTAACCCTAGCCACTACAACCGCCAGCTACCACCCCTACTCAGTCCTTTTTATTCACGTCGCCGCCCTCTCTCTTGCCTCCATCCTCTTGTCACTCGCCTTTCCCTGGCCTTCCGTCGCATCCTCCCTCTTCTACTTCATCTTTCTTCTTCTTCTTCTTCTTCGGCTTGAGCTGCTCCTCTATTCTCCACCTTTGGTCGTCGTCACCAATCCTAGCTGCCCCCGACTAGTCAGAATCGCAGCCCTTAACCCCGCAGCCTACCATCCCTATAGCCCTCACCGTCGCAACGCACCGCTACTACAACCCTACCCATCGCGACCTTCAACTCGCAGCAAGAAAGAGAAATCGAGATCCATAGTTGTGCGGGCGCGAGAGATCGATCAATCAATCTATCCATACACACCACACCACGTTTCCTTACATTTGCTTAGTTCACACCACACACAAGTTAAATATTTTGATTTTCTCTCCATACACACCGGGAGCTTCTATTTACACATACAACATCCACTCTCTACACATCTCTCCTCACTACACTTCCCACACACCTCCTTCATTAAGTGTGTGTATTGAGGGTGTTTGGTGTGTGTATATAGAAGCTCCCATACACACCACACCACTAATTGTTGGATAATACCAAATTACCCTTATCTTTTGGAAAATGTCTCGTAGCTCAAATTTTGTGGCTCAAAAGTGGCTCAAATGGCCAAAACGACGTCGTTTTGGCCATTTTTATGTTGTTCTGTACTCAAAACGACGTCGTTTTGACCATTTGAGCCACTTTTGAGCCACAAAATTTGAGCTGCATAACATTGTCGCTTATCTTTTTTTACCAAACCCTAACCCTAGCCACTACAACCGCCAGCTACCACCCCTACTCAGTCCTTCTTATTCACGTCGCCGCCCTCTCTCTTGCCTCCATCCTCTTGTCACTCGCCTTTCCCTGGCCTTCCGTCGCATCCTCCCTCTTCTACTTCATCTTTCTTCTTCTTCTTCTTCTTCTTCTTCTTCGGCTTGAGCTGCTCCTCTATTCTCCACCTTTGGTTGTCGTCACCAATCCTAGCTGCCCCCGACTAGTCAGAATCGCAGCCCTTAACGCCGCAACCTACCATCCCTATAGCCCTCACCGTCGCAACGCACCGCTACTACAACCCTACCCATCGCGACCTTCAAC